GGGGGGCTGAACGAAGTATGACTGTTGCTCTGAGGCTTTGGCCGATGTCTAAAAAAGGGTCATGTTCAATGGTTTGTCATCTGAACAACCTGAATCGACAAAAAACGGATGTTAAATCTAAAACCACAAAGAACATCGGTCAACAATCAGTGTCACTTATAGAATCAAAAGGAGTCGAAGCTTCTCCTCAACCAACGAGAACAACACATCATGGCTCCCCCCAAAAAGTCTCACCTTGGGTACAGTATATCCCATTACCAGGCCCCAGTGGATGATGATTTTCTCTGAAAGAGGTAATAGGACAAACCCTAGTCTCATCATTCAAAAGACTCTCTTACTCTCAGTGTGTCTGCTTGATGCTCTCTGGGTGGACAGCAAATTTCTATGTGACTTCAAACCCCCGTCTTTGCCTCAAATTCACCTCTCTGCACATCTCGACATCTCTATCGCTGTCCAAGGGCTATCTTGTGGCAAATCATAGTAGAGAGGTACATTCCAAATCCTCAGAAGCAACTCATCCGGTATTGAACAGAGTGATCATCAACTTTGTCATTTTGTCAATCTACCAGCCCAAAGTGGCTACTTCTGAGTACCCACTAATGTATGTGTTGCATTGCTTCAAATAGGTTCCCTATGTTCTCTCCATTACTATGGCGATTCTGGCGATTCTCATTAACCCTTGACAACTCTATTTCTATATCGAACCACACACTGAAAACCAAGTTCAGAAAAGGAATCTGGAATCTATTCAGGGGAGGCTCAACAACAGTATCAAGCAAGGATAAACATGGTTTCCTCCCCCGCAAAAAAAGACACATAACTTCTTTCCTTGCAAGAGACAAATAAAGCCAGCCAGCATCTTTGAGCACCTGATAGATGCTCTCCAGCACCTGCGAGAACCGCATAAGACTGGTGAAGACAGCGCCGACGTTGAACCACCTCATATGAGGGACAGTGATTCTACCCTGGCCGTCTGTATTGACGAAAAACAAGATACTACTAGGATCATTCAGACCATCTGGGTGTCCTGTCTGGAGGTCTCAGTAGTTCAGGGTCATCGATTGGTGACCAATTGGGTGATCGCCAGGTAGTATACTCATGATCCAATGGCCTGTGGAGAAGGAACACGTTTAATATATGTTGATCTCATTTGATCCAAGAACATGCTGGCTTCCCGAGAACGATCAACTTGGTGTCTCAGTGTTCTGCGGGACACTTCGGAAATTGTTGGTGAAGCCACTGTCCACAGTTGGTTCTCCAAGAACGGGGACCGGACCTTCTTTGCTGAGCTGCCGGGGAATAGCTTTTGCATGAAGATAGCGCTCCACACAAAAAAGACTTAACGTATCCACACAAAGACTCCGGCTAATGCAGAACATGAAGCAAACTCCTGACTTTGGGTCATGGCAACAGGCCGACCCTTACCCCCCCAAAAGAAGGGCACATGTCTCATTCATGAGATTCTCCAGTGTCGGACACGGAACGGATCCGCAACGCCCCTGGCCGGCCTCTGGTGTGGCAAACCAATGGAAGGCCGTTGCGACAAAGACCCCGTCCTCAGCGCCCCGGGTCAGGAGAGTCTTGGGAGCCTGGGAGTACTGTGGCACCGGCGCTACCCCAGACAAGACAAACTCTTGGGAGCAAAGCCTCGGTCAAACTCGGAGGTAAACCAGTAGCTGATAGCTGCTAAAAGAACGAGTCTTTGGGAGTCTACCAGTATCATACATCACTAACAACCATTATTATATGTATATGGAGAGTGTTTGGAGGGTTGCCTATTTCACCTTCCACACCAACTCTTCTCCCACTCATCTTTATCTTTGTTGCCCTCTTGTTGCACACAAAAAGACACCCTCATCCCACTACTCCTCAACATCCACACCAAGCCACCATCCGCTTGGCCCCGAAGCTCTGTAAGCTCTGGGCATCTCCTTCGCACACCTCCACGCGCAGGTTCGGAGGGCGCTCCGCTGCCGCGCGGCCGCGCGTGGAGAGGTTCTGCTGGAGCCGCTGGCGGAAGCCGTCGCTGGGCTCGACCGCGTGGATCACCACCTGACCGAGGTGATCTCTGCGTCGGCGGCCCGGTGTTCCGTGGTGCTGTACCAGAGACTGAGGCATAGGGAGCCGCTATCCATGGTATAGCTCCAAAGGTGTCTACCATCTACAAACAATAATGCTGGATAGTGAGCTCACCAAAATGACCAATTCACATCAAATTACTATTGCTGGCGAGGGTCAGCCCCACCATTCTATAGAGGGAGAGTGGGGTAGAGTGGGCTGTTGGTTGAAAACGAAAATAATCTTGGCCAAGAAGGTCAACCTCCCCATTTTATAGAGGGAGGTGTGGGGAAGATTTGTAGCGAGCATAGTGGAGCAAAACCGTTTTGCTTGAGTTGTGGAAGTCAGAAAACCAATTCTGTAGACATGACCAGGGCTTGGGTGGCTTGGGGTGATTCACCTTGATGTTCCCACATCTGGAACACAACATCTCAGTGGCCGGGGAGCAATTTCCTTTCATGTGAAAGTCGCAAAACTCAAAACCCTTGCAATTCTCTATGATATCCAGGGCTGTCCTCCCTCTAGGGGGGGATCATGAAACGTTTTACAAGACACGAGGACTCCCCTCATTTTATAGAGGAAATGGTCACGGGTATCTATTATCAATTTATAAACGGGTGTGGAAATCTGCCCGTGCTGTACCTGCCAGGTAAAATGGACGTGTCAATCCGATCCGCTGTAGACCGCAAGTGGCGTAAACTTTAGGGTTATTGATGGACACATGTTCTTTTCCCTAGTGCCTTCAGTTATTTGGTTCCTTTCTGTCCATGAACCAGTCAAGCTCATCAAAGTCCTCAACAACTGGCCTCCAAAACATTCGGAGAAACTCCTTACCGACTCTCAGTATATAGATAAATCCTGGCAGTTTCCATGGGTATAACATGGTATAACGCCAAACAACACGGCGTTTTTAGGTCAAGTCAAGGCCATCGTTTCATGCCTTTTCCGAAAGGGGAACCCCCCCAAAACCTGGTCGCTCCGCGTCGTCGCTCCGCGTCGCTGAAGCGCCTCAGCGGTGGAAGTGTGGAGGTACTTCCTGGGCGAGGATTGATTCTCTTCTCTCTGAAGGACCTCGCCAAGTAAGGTAGACTCTTGAGGACCATAAGCCCTCCCTTTGAAGAGGATGTTCAAGTTCAAGTGGGGGGGTCTATGAATCAAGAGGAGAACCCTTAAGGTCCAAGGAAAACACCTGGCGGCCAGGACCCGCGACTCTCGTGGTTCCGTGTCCAAAGCAGCCAGGAGATCAAGCGAAGAACCGAGACGAAGAACCGGGACACATATTCAAGAAACCAAGGAAGGTCAGACGGTCAGATGGTGTTTGTGTTTCTTTTTTCCACTCCCCTCACCCTTCCGTTACACTATCATGCATGCGCTATCCCAGAAGCTTTGTGGTCGATAAGCTCCCCAGAAGCTTTGTATTCACATCCCCTTTGGCAGCCGACTGTTCTTTCAGGTCGTCCTTGCCCAAATGCTCCACTGGTGACCAAACTGCGAGTCCAAGTGACAACAGCTCCATGGTCCACTTCCCAGTGCCCGCGCCCAGGTCTAATAGCTCCAGTGGGCCACTGGGTAGCAGGTGATCCAGAAGTTGTAGCGCACACGGAGGGTAGGAGGGGCGTCCACGTTCCTGGGGACGCCGCCAGGCGTTAGAGCGTCGGTAGCGTAGGTACCGTATGTCGCTGTGTTCGAGCGCAAATGGACACGCCCCCATGCAATATTCCCGAACCGGTGAGATGGGTGCAATTACGTGTAAGATTATATATATTTCTCTTGGTTTTTCGTGCACAACCTTTTTCTCAAAATCCAACCTTTTTCTCAAACACCAGGTGACTTAGTGGCTTCTCAAATAACATGTCCACGGACAATTAAGAACTAGTCTTGCCTGAACATGCAAGATTGTCAGTCTCAGAAACAAGTGAATGTTCGATGTGTTGCTCGTCCCAACAAAAAAAACAAACTTAAAAGCGCAACTCCTCGATTCATGTCCCATGCCAAGAACTCCACCACCCCTCGAGGTCGCGAATCAAATACTTCCATGGCTCATATGCCTCTGAGGTCGCGAAGCCCTCTCGTGCGATCTGATGCACATGCCGAGCACCGCCCGCCACGGCACCCCGCGCGCGGACGCCGCCCCCGCGCCAGGTCGCACGGGTCCACGCCGAGAGCAACGGGCGCATGGCCGAGTGGCGTGCGTCTCGATGGACCGGGTGAGGCACGGGGATGCCGGAGGGCAGGTCTCTTTCGCCGAGTTCGAACACGAAGTGACTTCGTTTCGGTTCGGTGGGACTGGAGTGGGTGCCAGGGTCCAAACACCGAGGTACGACTGGAGCCCTATAGGGTTTGTTTCACATGCGCTACGGATTGGATGACGACACAGATGTCACAGATGCCGTGGATCTTCGTACCAAAAGGGTCGGTCCGGACCTGCGAGTATCTGCTCCGGTGTCTCCGGAGCCTGCTTCCTGTCGAGCTTTCCACTTCATGAGTCATCTTCTGTCGGGAGGCGAACCAATTGTTTCATGGGCTGCGGCTAATTACAACATGTCTTGAGCCCTGGGCTGGGCTTCCTGCCGAGGCGAACCAGCGGGTTGGACCGACCGACTGGACGAGCTGTTTTTGCTTCTGGGAAATAGATGCTGACATGTGTCCGCAGTGTTGAAAACCAATCCCCCGAAAACCTGAACCCAAAACCTTAGCCTTAAGGTTATCCACTGACTGGTTGAAAAAAGGGGGTCCGAAACTGCAAAACCTCCGTTCCCCAAACTCCGTGCAAGAACACAAACGTTCACCGACCCCCCAAAACCCCCCAAAAAAGTAAAACAAACCACCAGGAGTCACAAACGGGTGGTGTTTAGTCCCTAAGTGAGTGGATAATAGGCACTCCTAACCTCCATTAAGCACCCCTTTGTGACTGCTGGCAAAAGAAAGCAAACATGGCGGGAGCTGCTGTTTGTAGGACCTGAAGCCGAATCGGACGGCGTCGGACCCCCGAGGTCACAGTCTCCTGGATGGAGTGTCCGACCGACCCAAAAACAGGAGGATCCCGACGTTTTTGGACCAAGTCATCCCGACGTCCGAGGCCAGTTTCCCCTCCTGAAGACTGCCACCAAAACAGGACATGAAGAGGTCAATGGGCCACACCAATCGCCTCTAATCCTGGTGAAAAGAAGCGTCATGGTACAAAAAGTATACAAAAGTGGGAGACTGCGATGATCACCGAGCATCTTTTGCAAGCAAAGCCTGCTTAGATGCCTCCCCCCAGTTCCAGAGTAGCACATTTCAAAAGCGATGCCTGCTTCTTGATCGGGTCGGAGATAGATCCCTACGACTCCGAAGAAACCTGACTGGTGTTTATTAGCGGGAATTTGGGTGGCTGGATCCAAAACCTCTCTTTGCGGGCCATCTTTATCACCGAGGAGCTGCACTTCTTTAATGTCGTGCACCGGTTCTTCTTCCACCTCGTCTCTAAAACTGCACCTGCGTCGAAGAACCGCGGGCGGAAGTGTGAAGATCGAACGAAGAAGGGAAACCACAAGGGAACTACACTCCTCAGAACTTACGAGGAAGCAAATCTCGGCGAGGACGCTGTTTACGAGGAAGTTGGTGACCATGTAAATCCCCCTGGGAATAGACCACAAACAGGTAAGCCCAATCAGCAAACGAGGAAGGCCAGAAAATGCAATGCTCACTACCGAGGAAGCCGAGGGCCCCTGCATCCCCGGGGATTGCTGGAAAATGACCAGGGAGATACACTTCCAGGTAAGCCAGGGTTGCTTTGCATTTTCATAGGTTGGGAGCTAACAAGGAAGAATACAAGCAAAATCACAACTTCTTGGTTAGGCTGCAAAGTGACTTCCTGGTTAGGTTGATTGGGACTTGCTTTAAAACACTTCCTGGTAAACCAAATGGCTGGGCGTGAATTCACAGATACCTGCTTTGATTAGAACAAACGAAGAAGCTCTCGAAGCCCTCAAGTGCAAGTCTAACGAGGAATTTAAAGAACCCCTCTCTCTCTCTCTGTCTCTCTTGATCCTGTTTAACGAGGAAGTTTACCAAACTATCACAAAAAAATGGTAGGCTTCTTTGTTTACTAGATGCTTCTGGACATTCTAGTTTTTGCACTGACAAACGAGGAAGTCGAGCAAGTCTAGCAAGTTTAGCATGTCAAACTTACGAGGAAGAAGTCATTCCCAACACAAAAATATGACATGCAGACCCTCCAGTAAAATGCCAAACGAGGAATATGATAGGAAAACTACTTCCTCGTAAGTTCTGGAGAGAGTAAGAAGGCAGAAACACCTCTTTTCGAGTTACTCTATGGTACCACTGGTATTCTTTTTTTGTGAATGTTGGACATCAAACAAATTCTTTAAGATAAGATCCACTGGCCTTCACTCTTTAATATTCGGGAAGAAATTCGATGTGCTTGCGGCGTAAAACCATCTATAATATGTACATGATGATCAATGATTCTGGGCTGTCAACCCATTCAGGGGAGTCCAAAATAGTGAGTGGAGTGTGTGTGTGTGTGTCGGGGGGGGAAACATATGCGAGATTCCTGGAGATTCGCTGAACAACTCCCTTATCACGTATCACAACTTCCTGCTTCCGCTTCCTGATTGACGGCATAAACCAGCTTTTGAACCCGCTCTGGAAATCACAACCACTGTCTGTCAGTTGTTCCCCCAGCACCAAAGACACTTCGTGAGGTTGGTCTTGTCTGAACAGGAGGGCCTGCCGCTGGGCCTCAACCACTAGGTTGGGCGTTTCATGTCATTGCAGGTCCTTTGTTCATACCTTCTTTCAACATCTCGGCACAGGGCCGAACACAACAGCCTCCCAAATCACCCATGCCAACATGCCAACAAAGCTTGGAAACAATCAACAACACATCCTAAAACACATCGAAGAATAGATGCACGACTCTTGCGGGTGCCAGCATCAAGGATCATTATTTGGTGAAGTCTTCAGCGGTGCGGAGGAAAGAAAGGGCA